ATATTATCCAAACTCTGTGCGAGCATACCATATATGCTATATGAACTATATCTCATTTAAAGTAACTAATAAATAAATATCTAGTTTTATTAATAACCTTTAGTTTAGTTTAGTTAACAACCTTTGAAGTAACTTGGTATGTATGTATAGTTATTAATTATTCTGAATAAGTATTTTATTGAAGAATTTCAAAATACTATTTTACACTACATAATTCTTGAATCATGTTTGTATTAAAATAATTTAAATATTAATAATTAATTCTTTTAAATATAGAACGATATAATTACTTTATTGTGACTTTTACGTTTTATAGTGTAACATGTTATATATAAAATTTTACATAACATTGTAAAAGACAACGCAAAACACAAACACAAAAATAAACAAGAGAAACTAAAAATTTGAAAGTGATATTAACTATAAAAATTTGTTCTTCTTTTTCATATTTTAACTTAATTTAATACCTTAATAAGTTATAATAACACTCGTGTAGATCGATTGGAGAATATATGTTGATAAATCATCTTTATATTTTAGAAAAATTTTATCGGAACAACAAACAAAATACATATATGTACAGAGGTTGGACAAAATAATGGAAAGACCTCTTATATGTCACACGTGTGTAATATTTATTATGACATATAAGAGTGATGTTCTCATTATTTTGTCTGGCTCCTGTAATTTGTTATGAGAATACTAGGGTATTAACATGTAATACTGTATTAACATTCAGTATTTAACGATTGATTACATTATCTGATCTGAAATGTTTTTTATTGTTGGTTAGTTTCTATCTTGTGTATATAGCATCCTTCAAATTTTTAATAATATTATTTACACGTGTTTGAAAAGTCCTATTTTTATTTTAAACGGACATAGATATATTTAAAAATTTTTAATCTTATAGTGTCACGTCCCGCGCCCCGCGCGATCCGTAGCGCGAAAGTAAAATTGGTAATTTCTTTCAAATCAAAGTAATTTAAAACGTTTATTTGAAAGACAGTTAAAGCCGCTAAAAGCTATATCTTGCGAAAACTTATGTAACCATGTTTTTGTAGTGACCTAATTATGTTTTTATAACGATATTAAGACAATTTAAATTGTAAACAAAGTCGGCGGTTGAACAAACGTTGGGGACTTTCCCAAACATTTTCAAAAGAAACATCCCGACGTTTTTTCATCTCCGACAGATATAAATAAATGAAGCGACTCAGAGAAGTCAGTAACAATAATTATCTTTCGTCTATCGAATAATAATATTACCGTTCGTTTATCGAGTAATAATAATTATTATCGTTCGTCTATTGAATATTATTAATTAATTACCGTTCGTCAACCGAATAATTACCATTCGAAGAGTTAGTTATCATTTTGTCAACCGAAGAATCGTCATTTTGTTAACCGAAGAATTTTATATCCGTCAGTCTGTCAGTCAATTGTCAATATCGAAATCGAGTAAGATTTAAATAAATCATTACATATTGTTAATTCACTTTTCGAACAACTTTAAGCCACTCCCGTGCCAGTATTCCCGCACATAGCAGGTTAGCCGAAAGTGGAGCTTATTGTCAGTTGCATTAAACGTTAGTTAACGCTACCTTCTTGTCGACAACTAAACAGAACGTAACATAGAGTATAAAAATTCTATTGAATTTTAGTGCGTTTTAGACACGTCCAAAATTTTAATAATTACAAAGTTGCACATTTCACAAGATGATACATGTAGTTCGTTATTAATTGAAAAAATTTCTAATTCAAAACTGATGAAACATGCAACGAAGTGTCTTTTTGCTATGATCAGGTTTTGTAATTTTGTAAATCAAAGTAAATGTATATCTTCACACACGCGCGCACGCACGCACACACATACACATACACTTCGTCAGATAAGCTTTCTTGCTACCAATGTCATGTCGACAATAAACTAATATCTCAGTCCCAAAATCACGTTATATTAAGCACATTTTCTTTTAAATAAAATTTGTTGTGTTTTCTATAGCAATTTTTTCACTCTTTCTGATGACAAAAATATTTCCGTTCTAGGTCGTCTAGTTTTAGATATAATAGTATAAAGATGACATTAAGTCCATATTTTGTTACAAGGGTTATATAACTTTGATTTGTTTTCTCCTAAAATTAGAAAATTGTAACTTAGTACACTCTGATTCTGGGGTCTGGATATGTATGTCTGTATTTATGTATGTCTTGATTTTTTTTCATGTATTACATATAAGTATTAAAATATGTATAATTTTATGTGCTAGACTAGATTGAGCGCGTAGTAGTGATACATGTATGTGAATATGAGTGTATGGAAGTATGTGTGTGCGCGGAGCCTCGAAAACAAGGGAAGGTAAACTGCTCAGTTAACAGTGTGGTAGGGAAGAATGTGAGACGCGTGCAAGTGTGTATCGATGAACATCTTTGAAATCGTTTATCAAAAAAATATATAACTATTCTAATATAAATTCTAAGTGTAAATTTAGTATTCCTATACCATTATTTCGGCAATTAAGATCCAAAATTCTCAACAATAATATGTAATATAATGTTCATGCAAATGCTAGAGCCAAATCTTTGTATTATAACTTTCTTATCGTTATACCTCATTTTTACATTGTTTTAAATCTTTCGTTAATTCTTAAAAAGTGTTTACTTCAACAATTATTTGTAATTTGCGAAAAAGGTATTGTATAATTCAAAATAATTAATTATGAGATAACAAATGTTATTCTAAAAATTCTCTCAAACCATTTTTCAATAAACTCATTTCATATTACTTACCATTTTATTTTTAGTATTTTAACCAATTTATTTCCATATCTGATTTCCATATCTGATTCTAAATCGTTTCATATATGTTCTACAACATTTTATTCACAAGTATACTCATCGAAATATTTCTAAAAAGTTTATGAACCACGAGAAACTACAAACATACAGTGCCGTAAAAGAAACTTTGGAAGACTTGTTTCTACATAACACCATTTGGAAATATTTCTTAAAAACATAATAAATTATGTATATACGTATTTATATAAAACATTATAAAATATGTCACTATCGTAGATGACGCCTACGACTTTTGCACAATACTGTCTATTATTAAATTGTCAACAACCATGCATGTATAATTTACCATTTACGAATGTTTTTATGCTACACAACGCCTCACGTTTTCCGTAATCGAATCCGCACTCGATTCGTTGCGAAACAATCGCATACTTCCCCTAATGTAAACGGTTGCGTTTCATGTCATGCACAATGAGCAAATTTCATGCTCTGTTTCGTTCGAACAGCGGTATGCCACGAAAATAATTCGAGCAGCTTCGCGTGAATAAAAAAAGAGAAGCGATTGATTATTTAAAAACTATGATTGCTTTCGTAAAATGTCCTGTAAAATCATTGTTCAGAAGATAAACATTCTTTAATAATCGAATAAGCGAATAATCATGTGGAAGAAAGAAAGATGACAGGTACACTATGGAGCATATATATTTGGAATAATTTGTACACTTCTAAATTATTGTAAATATATAAAATATATTTCAAATGAAATTCTAATCTAATCTTGGCCTCTAATCTCACCTCAAACTGCTGTACATAGTTAGTATAGTGGTTTACGAAAGTATTTCAACACTTGCCACGGAAAACTTTTACATATGTGTACTGCACATCCATTTTATCTCGAAACGCTCAAATATATCGAAAAATATGAATGGTGCGAAAATTGTGCCATATTACACATATCTCGATAACGGATAATACGAATGAAACATCTGTATAATAAAAATCTGAATAATAAAAAAGGCAGGTTCCTATTTAAAAATTTTAATGATCTCCATAGGACGTTTTAAAGTCGTCAAAAGATCAATAGACAAGAGAGTAGAGTATATTTTTCTCGATATCATACGCTCTTTTTCCAAGACATTTTTTCGTACCATTCATATTATTTGGGTTATTCGAACATTTTAAGTTAAATCGGACATACCATACATTCTACTTCTTATATAAGATATTTTGACATTTCATCGGCATTGTAATGAGACACGACTATCATGATTATATTGATCAACCTTGAAACCAATTTAATACTATATATAGAAGTGACAAAATATTCGTGACTGTATGTATATAATATGTATATATAATAGGTGTTAAAAACGTAAAAAAGATCTTTCTGAATAATCAAACTTTTTAGAACTTCATAAATAATTGACCGTTTAGATAGTTTTATGATCCTTTTATTTGTGCAAATTATGTTGCATCAACTGCTCATAGTTTTATGATCTTTGCAAAATGTATACCCGAACAAAATATTTTGTATAACTTCCATATACATTTTTGGATTTGTTTCAATTTACCGATGCAACAATGATAGTCATGCCTTACAGCGCTAATGAAACATCAAAATGTTTCGTATCAGATGTATAATATACTTATAAAAGTTCTTACAAGTATTTGAATACATTCGTAAGTCGCTTGCAGATATTCGCAAAAACTTTGTATTAATGGTATTGGTTGGTATTAATAAAAAGACAATATATAATTGATGGTGGATAAAAATTGAGCATCTAGAGATACCTCAGTTGGCATACTTCATATGTGTTTGTTCGGTTTCGAAATTTTAAACTGATTAAAGTGTTTTCCTAGCTTTCTAACGACATTTCAAAAGTTCATATAGGTTTTGTGCAGAGTGAGCTGCTTAATAGAGGTAAATGTGTAATTTCAGCGATGCAGTTATATTCTTTCTTTCAGTGTAAAGGTAGAACGTTTGATCTCACAGTTATGACGAGAGATAAGCAGTTAACGCTAGAGAAACGTTCTTCGATCATAATTTTGAAAATATAGCAGAAATATCGATTTTCTTATTTGCACCAGGTATCCAAATATTTATGCGCCGTAGTGTAGATGAAATGTGAATCTAACAGATCGCAAATAAAAAAAATGGATATAGATAGAAAAAGAAGAAAATGATTAGCATGTAGCATTACCTTGGCAGGCGTCTCTGTAGTGCTGAGATTTTGACGGCGGTGGAGGTGCGTTCGAGTATTCTATGGATGAGCCGAAAAAAAGGAAAGTAATAATTAGCTGCACTACGATTACCATGAAACAATTATCACTCAGCATTGTGAGTTCACTGTGAACATTGAATGCTGACTTGGGTTAATGGATTGCACTCTTGCTCGGCATTAATCGATATTGGTATCCCAGAACAAATCACGTTTCCAACCAAGTATTTAACAGGAAACACATTTCAACATTCAGATTATATTTTCAAAATAGTTGTATTAATATCCAGCATTTGACACTTGCATCGAGAAGTGTCCGGGTACACGTCTACTACAGAATCAAGAAAAGTCCGAGCGGGATATCGGTATCTGCAGAGTGTACCCGTACTGTTTAGGTTCCCGAATGTTTCGGGATTCGAAAACTCGACTCGGATATAAACGTGAATGAACATCATAACTTCGAATTGGCTCGGCCAAAATTGGATGGGATCGATTCGAGAACCCAATAAGATCCAACTATTAAAAAGAGATGGAAAGAAATATTCTGCATGCTAAGGCTATAAAACGTTTGATTTTTTGTATAGAGTTTCTAGCGGACAATTTTAGTTTTTCTTTTTTTTTTCAGTTTACTTTTGTAATAAAATTTGTATTAAATTTTTTATTAAATACTTTTATATTCTAGATTTATACTTTATTCTTCGTGTAAAGTTATTGAAGTATTTTGTAATTAATTTAAAATTATTATCGAAGTAACAATAATCCTTCAAAATTTTAAATATAATATTTATTCATATAGATATACGCTTTATTCCATCTCTTTTTAATACATACATAGCTGAATCTATCAGGCTCTCCAACCGATTCCGTCCAACTTTCGTCGAGTCGATGCAAAGTTACACTGCCCGTTCATGCTCGTATACGAGTCGAACTTCGGGATCCTAAAACTTTCGAGTATACTGAGATATATTGAGATCCCATCTGAACTTCTCTTGGCTGGCCCATCCCTAAATTCAAGACCCCGATATTCGGGTCGATCCGCAAACATCTGGCGTCGGTTAATTCTTCAATTTTTTATTTCTTTTCGTTATTAATATATTCTTTTAGATTCTATGCGTATTTTTTCCTTAAATTATTACAATCTGCGAACGAGAGGAAGATGTTTTGGGAATTTGATATTTTTTTATCGTGTTTCTATGTGATGTACTAGATTTGCATTTTTAACTTCAAACCTGTAGAAGTTATGTTATAAAATTTTATACTCATTTTAAGTTATCTAAACAATATTTCAAACGATACAAATTACATCCTTCTTAAAATTATTCGTAGTAATTTGAAAAATTAGATAGAAACTATTAAAATTAATAATTGATAATTAAAAATTAGGAATAAAAAGCATTTAGCGAGAAAATATTGTTAATTAGCGAGAAAAATCTAAGTATCAATTGCTTCCCCTAATTGATTATTTGGTAAACAACAAAATAAATTATTCTTTTTGAAATGTTTATTACAACAAATGAAAAATTTTTTAATATTTGTTCATTTAAATTATTCCAAACTTTATATTGTACATTGAATTATTTATATTAACTATTTATATTTGCAACTAAAGCGTATTAAAAAAAGTTCTAAGAACTTGAATGATGATAAAAACGAAAGCATTTTAAAATCCAACAAATATGTTGCTTCCTCCCAAAGGAAATAATGTAATTGTTTTACTACTTCTATCGTAAAATAAATAAAATGAGGAATTTCGTATGAAAGATAATTTAGCTAACAAGAGAAATATTTTCAATTAAGCATAAAACACATGATTATATGAAACTGGGAGTAATTTTAGCAGTTATGACTATTCAGACCTTCGAAAGTGACAGTTGGTCGAGCAGTGTAGATGGGAATTGGTGACCACCAAGAAGTGGCTTTTTGTGGAACGGTCGGCGATAGTGGCGGAGGAAGCGGTTGATATCTAAACCTCGGTCTGTGTTTAGCAGGATCAAACGGTTGACTTGTAAAACCATCTGATTGTTTCAAAATTGACGATGGACCTTTTGATAAGGCGCGTACTTGGTTCACCACTTTACCTCTATCATTGATCTGTGTCTTTGTGGAAGCGGAATTCGTCCTACTTTTCGAGGAAACATATCTGGCAGCGAGGTTGGGTGGCGACGACAACGAGCGCATGTTATCTCGTCGACTGGGATACCTATGTGCTATCCATTGACCAGCTAGATAAGGGGCGATATCTCTCAGCTCGTGCATATTCGGCGACGAGGTGAACATTTCACCCAGGATCGAAGTTTTCTGAGTAGCAAACTCTTCGAACTTTTTTCTCATACGCCCAACAGACTTCCTCGCCTCCAGCTCGTCAGTCTCTGCCTTCCTAGCATTAGTCACAGTAGAAGTTGTAGCTGAATCCTTCAATTCAGCTGTCTTACTGATAACATCGATGTGAGGCATAGACAAGTCCTCTCGTCTCAAAGGGACACGTGGAATCGGCGGAGACTCGCCTCTGCGGCGAGCTCTTCCTCTGCGAGGCTCGTACCTTCGACGCAACCAGGCTACGTCCGCAAATTCATGAGGCTTCACTTTACCTTCGTCCACCTTCCTCAGAAGACATCTGGCCAGTTCAGGATCGCTCTGAAATCTTTTTGGTACTGGAACCGTCCTGACTGTATTTCCACGAAGATCTTCGGCACTCTCAAATCTAGCCTTCAAACGTCTCACCGTACCATTTTTTACTAGCTTTAAATAGGCGCGCCAATATTTTCCCGGGTCTGGCGAGGAACTACGCAACCAGATGCTCTCGAGACTGCAGGATGAATTCGATCGCATGGATGCACGACACGGACTAATGCTCTGAGGCCTATCATGTTCACGGTCGCATGAACAAGAGCGAAACGAGGGTCGCGTGTCCACTTCCCTATCAGGGCTGCTTTCTTTCTCTTTTGTAACGAATGCTTTTGGGGAAATAGAACGTGTTCTGCACCTTGACGAAGACAAGGTGCTATATTTTGCCGATTCCGTTTCACCGAATAATTCTTTCAAATCTGCAAAACTTTGAGAAGAAGACAATCTCCCTGATTTCAACTTTGATTTTGATCTCGTTTGCTCCGCTTTTCTACGATCTTGATCAGTTTCTATTTTATCAACGTTTTCGAAGAATTCGATCTTCGTTGGAACATCTTGAGACTCTATATTTCGTTGAATAACCGTTCTTACAGATGTTTCGGAACTTTCAGTCATACTGTCTCTTTCACTGCCAGAATTTTGGGCTGAAATTTTGGTCTGAGTAGTCGTGTGAGGTATAGCAATCGTTAGAAGAGGAGGTTTTCTAGACCATTCTTCCAAAACGTTTTCTACTCGCTGTCTATCAGATGGACTCTTGCTGTTTGGGGTTAGGACCAATAGGAAGTCGCTTTCTTTAATCCCCAAGTCTGTTCTCGATGAATCTTCAACGCTTGACGGCTCCAGAGAATAACAGCTTCTAGGTGATGTGCTGGTCACGCTAGGCGTAGCCGCAGAACGTGTCGCTTTTGGCATCTTCTTAGCCGCTAATGCAGCTGCTATGCTGCCTCGAGTTTCACGGGGAGCCAATGGAAGCGACAGAACTGACAAAACTTCTTTTCCAAGTGTCACAGACAGTCTCTTTTTCTCTAACTCGCTCATAGATGGAGGGATTCTGAATAGAGTTTTATCAGATTCAAATTTTTCTGTGCTTTTCCCTTGACTAATAGAATCACTTCTCTTCAATTTCAATTCTGGACGATCCGTCAACGATTTATGATCCCTTGGGGATATATCCGATGTAATCATAGAGTGGCATCGTACATGAAGACCTTTCCCATCATCTCGAACATCGGGCGATTCGACTTGAGGTGGAACGACAATTTCATATTTCGATAAAGAATCGTGTTTATCAGTTTCTCCTATTTTCTCTTGTCGTTGTTCTGTGATTTCCGGATTCATTTTTGAAGATGTCGACGGTGCAAACTTTTGCAAATTATCGCTACCGTAAATTTCGTTTAGCTGTTTCTTCAAAGTAGCTACTTGTTCGATAGACAAACTGCTCCAAAATTTTTTACTGCCACCAAGATTTCTTTGTAAGAATGGATGATCTGTATGATCCAAGGATTTCTCGTTATGAGAGCTATTCGCTTTCTTCTGCATTGTGCTCGCCACGTTTAGTACAGAAGTGCCTCGCCAAAGCGGTTTATACGTATCTTTTCTCGACGAGATTTCTTTTCTTCTAGAATATTCTAGGTCACTCTCTTCAGATTGCAGCTTGTTGAAATGCTGAATAATATTTTCAACAGATCGTTCTTTACACCTTAAACTGCAGTCACCGTGCCATTTAAACTTACTGATATCTTTGGTGCTGAACAACAAGTCTTTGTTCCTCTGAACAGCCTTCAGCTTTCCATACAGAGCACTGAACTCGACTTCAGCTCTCTCGTGCGACCTTACTTTCTTCCATCTATCATAATCTATAATTTCTTCGTTTTTCATCCTTGGTCGTAAGTCGTTGGTAGAAAAAGTCCTCTCCAATTCGCCCAATCTTTCAAGGCTCGAATAGAAATCGTGCAGTTCCTTGTACCTTTTCGATCTCCTTCTGTTGTGTAACCTTTCCAGTACATATTGATGATACTCTTCGTGACCAATTGGTGACGTGTACAGAGAATTCGTGCTTCTACTCAATGATAAATCAGAGCCAAACTTAGATCGGATTTCTTGCAGTTCTTCAGTTTCTCCAGCACTTTTAGTTGCAATCTTCTTCGCAATAATTGTATTAGGAATTTCTGATTTTTCTTGCTTCAATGTACGAATGCGTCTACAGGCTGGTGATCTAATTGGAGATGGTGAAGAAGTTCGTGAAGATGAGTGTTTCGAGCCTGAACGTTCTGGCAGAGTCTTCAAAGGCGGCTCACTTGAACTTCTTTCCTTCAAACGCTCTTTCGCCGAGTCTGGACTTCGATTACGTAAAATACTCGATGATCCAAAGTCCTCGATACCTAGAAGACTGTCAAACTTGCTCACTTTATGAAATACAGATCTTCCAGGCCAGCTGACACCGTATGGGCTTGAACTCCTAGAAGAGATACTCTCGCGTTCCCAGTTTTTGAATTTTGAATCTGATACTGGACGCTTGTGAGCTAAGTAAATACTCAAGGCTTTTAATGAAGGTTCCGATTTGCTACCCTCTCTGATGTTTTCTTGGTATATCCTCGCTCGTTCACTAACACTGTATCTCTTAAAAGAGACATTTTCATTTGAAACAGCTGAAGAAACTGATTCTAAAAAGAGATTCTGGAAAGATGTATCGGAACATGCTACTTCGCGATGTCCTTTAATTTTTTCTACAGCTAACACGGGTGATTGTTTACTCAGTGTTGATAACGGACTCTGTTTAATATTAGGCTCCTCGTTTTCAATATTAGTTTTATTAATACTTTCATTTTTTGAATCTGACTTTTGTCCAGTTGTTACTTTTTTCGTTCTCGCAGTAACTTCGGTCTTGTCCTTCTTCGATTTCTTTGCTTCAAGTTTTTTTTTAGTCGAGTCAGGATTAATTTTTATGGTTTCTGGCTTTTGTGTAGGAAACTTGACGATGGTATGAGGTCTTAGTCTCTTCTTTGTATATGATTCGCTAATTGCATCAGAAGAGGATGTAAATTTCCTGCTAGAACCTATTTTATCATGCTGTCCGACTATTGTCCTCGGTTTCCTGGTGTCTGTTAATACCGATCTACCCAGAACTGATGGAGAAGATGTGGCTGAAGAAGATTTTAAAGCAAACGTTGATTTTGCTGTAGAAGTTGAGTCTACTGGGTTTCTTAACATTTCCTGTCCTTTAGAAGACACAGTAACTATTACTTTCAAAGATTTGTCTTGCGGACTTTTCTGCTTTGCATTATTTAAAGCTGCAGAATACATCGTCGAGGAACTTTTAACAACTGCTCCTGATGGCAATACTGTCGTGCGAACATCTTTGCTATTTTTGTCTCTATATTTCTGCAAATGCTTCCTATTTTCTATAGAAGATAAATCAACCGGTGACCTGGCGAGTCTTTTAGAAGATTCTTCCTGCTCTTTTCTTGTTAACCTTCCTCTAACATTAGTTTTCTTAAGATAAGATATAGAATTACCGATTTCATTCATAGTACGCAACTTCTTTGATTTTGTTGGGGAAGGAATTAGATATTTCGAAGTCGTCTTCGAAGAAGAAGAGGATGATTTATGTTCAAGTCCACGTTTCAAGTCAGGTTTCGCTGAATATCCGTAGCCAGTTTTCCACGAAGAAGAAGTATCCACGCAAACGCGAGTTCGACTTTTGTCGGCCGCGAAACTTTCCATCGCAGCTGTGTCGAGTAAACTTTGTGACAACCACGAGTCCGAGTTCTTCTTGTTCAATGGAATGGACACCGAAGTAGAAACTTTAGACCGAGGCGAGATCGAGCTGTTAGAGGACGTTCGAAATAAAGTGGAAGTTGAAAGACTTTTTCGACTCTGCTTGAATCTGTCAAGATTGCTGCAAAACCGTTCTTTCAGTGATTTAACCTTGGACCCGTCTTCTGTAAAACATTGCTTGTGTCTTGATTTAAAAGATTGCGTGTTATCCATGGTTTGATGTTTGAGATTTGATGCAGTTGATGCATACAGTTTCAATGTTTTGCTGTTTCTAGAAGATTGTCTTCGGGGTGGAGAAGGAGGTCCTGTGACCGCATTTGAGAATGTTCTACTACCTAGTTGTGGATTGGTGAAACTGTCGTCTCTGAGACACTTTGATTTTGTGATAGTTGATCGAACGTCCATTTTCTTGCTCATTCCACTCTCACTGGAGGATAATCTTTCGTGTCGCGAGAAAGTGGTTGATGATGAAGCAGGTGTGGTAGCAGAGACACTTTTTCGGTGAACACGGATCCGTGTCAAAGTGGGCGAGATCAGAAAATTCTCGATCCCCGTGTCGTCTGTGGACAAAGTGTTGATTGTTTGCTTTGATCGCGTGTTCGTTTCGCAAATTGTGTGCCGCTCGTGGAACCCTCTCACCAAAAATTTTGAAGAAAAGAGTCTCTTTAAAGCTGGTGATGTTGCGTTTGTTCTATTTAGTTTCATTTTTTTATTTTCTTTTATTAGATATTAATCCGACGCAGTGTGAACATCAGAAAAGTCTTCTCAGGTGATGGTACTGCTTGTGCATCGTATTGCGGAGAAAATTAAATCGCAAACCAATATCGATAGATACCGAGAAGAGGCGGTGCGGTGAATAACCTAAAGAACTACTTATAAGAAGAATATCGTGAAAAAAGTATGCGTTTAAGCTGAGAACTTTTGGTTGGCACAGCTAAAATTATAGTTACGAATCATGCTTCGTACTTTTTCACTTGACGTATTAATTCGAGGGAGGTGAAATTCAAATAATCGCGGGCTCCTATCAGATTGTATTACGTGGAAATTGTATCAGCTGGTTACATTGAAATGCGGTTATGCAGCGCTTACATTAAAATAATTTAATAGGCGAATGATAAGCGGCCTACAAACATCCTCGTATGTGACTCAACTACTTTTATGAGCAAAATAAAATTTACACGCTCATATAGTGGCTCATGAAAGTATTTGAATGCTTGTAGAAATCTTTTATGAATATGCTATAGAGAATATTTTCAAATTTCATCAGTCTGGAACAAATCTGGAAATGTACAGGATAAAAGAATTCTTTGTTATGGCTTTAGCAGATGATTTTACACCACCGAATCAGTGGAGATCTGTCAAAAACAAGTAACCACAAAATTGACCTTAAATATCAAAATCAAATATTTTAATTTCATCGTTGTAGTACTTACAATCAGAAACAAAAGTCTCAAAGGAACCATGGTGGCAGCTCAACCGTTCCTTTAGGAAAAGATGTTTTATTAATTAAACATTTAAAAGTTAATTATATACAATATAAAAGTGATCTTATTTCGAATATATTTAAATCTTGCAGTCAGATAGAACTTACATAACATGCTATTGATGAAACTGCTAGAGATTATCGTTTATCACGTGAAATATATGCGATAAAGTACGTATTTAAATGTATAGTGGTCTGATCTGCATTATTCCTTATTAATTATCAATATATTTGACGTGTTAAAGGATGATTCCTAGCAGCTTTATCAATAATGCACTATGTAAAATTTATCTTTGTGTCACATGTAAATGTATTATAAATAAAATCAGTTTCACATATATACATTTATATAATTGATTAAACTTTAATATCTTTTCCCAAGAGTACGGTTGAGTTGCAATTTGTAGTTGCCTTGAAACTTTTATTCCTCGTGATGAGCACTACACGATGCAATGAAAAAACTTTGACCTTTAAATACTTTTTTTTGTTAATGGATTTCCACCGATCCGAAGCTGGAGAATCACCTGTCAAAGTCATGACAAATAATTTTTGAACGTCCTATGTTTTGAAGTTACAAGATATTTTGTTTCAGTATACATTACACAGAAGCCCACAAAAGTATTTGAGCAGTCAATTACCATTATATCAATAAGCCTGGATATTCAGTAAGACCATTTTTAACTTATCACATATTTAAGACAGCTATTTACACTGTATACTAATTTCTTGGTAAATATGTGTTTACAGTAAATGTCCTGTATCTTCTTTACACACATGTACATGTGTTCGTATTAGTTTCAAATTTTACCAATATAATAACGATAGTCATGGCTCACTACAGTGACAATAAAATTTTGAAATAATGCATATAATATATTCATAAAAATTTTCTGCGTTATGTGTGCGAATACTTTCAAGAGCTGCTGTAAGTATCAGGACATTTTGGTCGATTTGTAGTAACAATATGTGAGTTTCACGGAAATATACAAATTATTGACGAATTAGAAGCAACAATCACTACCTTTTTATGAAATCACCAGGCTATAACCCTAAATTATCCATTAAAGAACATAACAATAAAATATTTTACTATTTAGTGTATATATGTGCTGCTATATACATCTTCTATTTAAATATTACTCTCTGTGATTTGATTTTAATATCAAAGAAGTAATAAGATAGTTCTATAATATTTAAGAGTGAGAAACATTAGATATGCAAGGTATTCCAGTAAACATAGTACAGTAGTAGTAAGGTAGTTTCTACAGTATTTGAAAAAATAAATCGAAAATATAGAATAAAAATTTGTTCATCTCGAAAGATCAACTATGCATGAGTTAGTTTCATTCCTGGTTGAATCGAAACGAATAGTTGGAAGAAAACTATTCTATTTGAACAAATAAATCGAAAATGCAGAACAAGATATTCTCATTGGAATCTTTGTTTTCGAGAAAATTGAATTTAGATATTCGTCAAAAATGCATGTACATACGATGCTAATTCTTGACGTTTCATTTCACATTTCGAACTTAATTTCGTACGTACAATAACCTGGTGATTGTTGTCTGTTCACTCATATATATCTAGTCAAGATATAAGATCAAGCAAGTTCGCATATTTGTACTTGATTTTTTCATAAACAAATCGTCGAACAAAATGCATGAAAAAATTGTATTCATCTTTTTTATGTTTTTCATACAGATTTACTCTCTTAGGAATTTTTACGCGTCACGCCTTGTACTATATAGAACACTGACTTTCGAAACTCAATTTGTTTGATTTATAATATATCTACTATTATACGTAGCTGTGACAATTATAGAGAATAAAATCATAACAATTTGTTTGGCCGTAGTTTTATTATGAAAATATAACTTGTCAAATATCAGCAAGTATCCAAATACTTTTGAGCAATAGTATTTCCTTGCGCTCTCATAAGTTGTTACTTCATTATTACGCGTGTAAACGTTATGAACAACGAAGAAAATTTATTAACGCTATTAACAGTAACAAGGTATTTCTTAAACGATCTTTAACGAAGATTTTTGATGAAATTTACGATACCAAGTGATAGTTTAGAGTCTCGTAGTCGTTGAAAAATAAGGACTCGGGTGATATATAAAGATTACAATCGTCATGCTTGAAGGCGTGAAAGTATAATTTCATTCGAAGCTCTGAGAATAAAACGAAAGTTAATGACACGACAACGACCATGCAAAGTCTTAGCAAAAACACAACTATTGTTAGTAATTAAATACGAGATACAAAAAACTCAAAGTGACAATCGATCAATTATATGCTAACATGCCTGCTTAAATGATATCAAACCATATCAAACACCAAAAAAATAAGAAAAATATTCGCAGAGAATGTAATAATAATTGCAAATGCCTTAAAGACATAGAAATAGGCTTAAAAAGATAAATAGAATTAGATCGATGAGTTCGAGAACTTACCCTTTGGTCGTTCTGGAGCGGGTTTACGAAAGCCATGAAGGGGTACGTCGCCACCGCTTTGAACAGTTTTATAGGCCAGTCTTTGTTCAACTTGACTCAGCGGGCTGATATCTTCCTTGCGACGGAATACCAGAGTAGAATCGCTTTCGTATCCTGATTCTTTAAGAGCACTGTAAAAAAAAAGGATTTCCATAACTTTAAAGCAATGATTAATTTTTAGAAGACTATAAGAATAATAAGAATAATAAACTAAGATATATTGTAATTAAATTACAATGTATTTTGTAAATAGTGACATTTCATTGCGTAGAGTATGTTCACGCCATTAATTCTTAGGATATTTTCATTCATAAGTGATACATTTGTAAGAAAAATAGGAAAAGTCAAAGGTTTACCATTTTCGATACATAATGCGATAGTCTTAATAGATTTATCTAATTTATTATCGTTTTCACATAATGACGGTAGTTATACTATAATTATCTCCAAATTATATGAAAGCGGGGTAATTATCTACAAGTCCACCGAATTCCCGATTCCGCCTATTTCTGAACATGTAGAAATAAACATTTTGAACAACATTTTCCTATATATATAATTTTTGTATGGCCTTAATTTTCGAAATATTAGCAAAAAATTGTTGATATCGCATCAGAATAAAATTGGTATCACTGCAGTGAATTCTGCGAATTCTTTTCAGCTTGGCCACGCAACGCACTGGACAAGTTACGTCCAACCTCACTTCTTACCATGTGCCCTGTCTACCATGTGTAGCTCCGCATTTTCATACCTCTATGCAGTTGAACGATGTTCCTCCGATGTACAGAATGTTGAAAAATTATTTGAGAAATGAGTCTACACCTTCGAATTGGTGGAGATCTGTATAAAAAAAGCGACCGAAAAATTGACCTTGAGCATAATTTTCAAGATCAAATCTTTTTAATTCCAACATGTAATACTCATTACAAGGAATATGAATTTCAAAGGAAGCATAGTTGACAAATGAACTATATTTTAGGAAAAAATGTTAATATTTTATTAGACCTTACATTGACATCTGCAGTTTGGTTGCATTTCAAACGCGAATGCAGAAATCAGTTAGATATTAGGCTGTTTATCTATCGCAAGAAATATTAGAACTATGGCAAAAATAACAATAAAAACGCTGTCTTTATCCTCTGATACCATATATCAACACTACACCTCAACACTAACCCTGACACCCTAGGCTTGAAAGAATGTAACAGCAAAGATTATTTGTCACAGGAATGATTGGCTGACAAAGATTATTTGCCAGTAAAATAAAGGAATTACAAAGATCACTCGCTAGTATAAAGCACTGCGAGATTTATTTTAAGGCGAACTGTATATAAATTGCATGTGTTTGGTGTGAAATGTTTCTAAATTGGAGATAAGTTAAGACTCAAGGAACTGGCGAATAAGTCGTTAATACAGACTGACTAAACTCATCCGGAATAAAACTCTTATAGTCTCTCATACGCGAGATGCTGGCGGAGGTAAAACACGCAGATTAGTTGTCTAAGCATTTTCGATTTTTCGAAAGTGGCGAAAACTCGCGATTGTGAGCGGATTGACGCGGGAAAAGAGTTGTAGGTCAGACAGCTAATTACAACTGTATGGAACGTATGGTTTTATTGGATGCGCGACTATTAAAGTAATACCCTTTCTAGGTATGGTACAATATCGATTTTTATGTTCGAAGGTCAAACCACAACCCGTAAACTTCGTAAGACGGAAGATGCCCATACTATGCGACTAACTGTGCGTGTATGACTCTGTCGTGTCCGGCAGTTGGACCACGACCTGGGGATCCTTCGCTCCTGTATCCCTCGTGTGGCGACCAAACCACGATCTTTCATTTTCGTCAAAGAGGAGACAACTATTGCTATTGCCGACTACGTTCTTGCGTCTTCCCGGCTGTTGATCGCTCAAGATGAGGATGAAGGATAAAAGTTTGCTTCTTTTACCGCTTGTTTTAAGACACTGTTGGCCCTTCAAGAGTTTTCGGGCCTATACGTCTCTTAGGGCTCACTCAGCAGTGTCATAAATCCTTACCTTCTCAATGATCTTGAATAGGTGGTCAATTTAGTAGGATTGGTAAGTTTTCTTCAGTAGGTGACTACCTTCGCGTTATTAACACAAAGCGATCCTCGAGATCCTGCACGGGAATTTCGCAAGTTCTACTTAATGGCATGTAACAAACTCTTATGACGCGTGCTGCGTCGACCAATGCTGGAATAAAGGTTAAAAAAAGAGAAAACACCTGAATCCCTAACCGTGACAAGCAACTGCTATCGAATAGCAACAGAATAAGTGTTCAATGGCTGCATAAGGTTATTGATGTTAGGAAAGACAGAATTTCTTCGGCTTATAAATATAAAAGTAGAAAGAGATAAAAATATAAAAACATAAACATATGAAGACATATATATGCGTAAGAATATAAATGAATAAAGAGATAAAAATATCAATCCAAAATATAAGATGAGCGTAAGAAGAAATTCTGACTTAGTATATAAAATTTCTTATCTCTAAAATAAAAACTATGATCTACAAGTAACTAGACTAAACCCTAAAACAAAAATAGGGGGAAGGATGTAAATTAAATAATTGAGAACACTAAGGATAAATTCTCTCGACATTCATTGGTGGATGGCTGTTGTAAAAATGCTGGTTTTAGCATTGAAATGTGTTGCGTTGAGTGGGTTATGTCGTGTGGAATCGTGTGTTTTCCCATTCTTTACGAAGGACGACGAAAAACATATTTGTCATAAAATTATTTTCCAGTTCACAGGCGCGAGTCGGCAGGCGCAAGCAAAGAAATATTTTGCAACTTAATCCATCATCCTTCGATAGCTTCGCGGCTCGGAGTTCGAGGTCGCGGAGCTATAATATTTCAAAACATTGATCGTGTTTACGAACAAATAAACGACGATAGCTACGCGTCTCAAAATTATTGCCCTGAAACCTTTGTTCCTCGTGATGAATACTGCAGCTTGCAATTAAAGAAAATTAGACTTTGAACATCATGCTCAAGGTAAATTTCGCAGTCACTTTTTTTAACAAATCTCCATCGATCGGAAGGTATGGAATCATCTGTAAAAGGCATAGCAAATAACCTTTGAAGACCCTGTACATAGATATATATTAGTTTATAGTTTATCATTAAAACATTCATTTCCCCGCGACACCTACGAAACTATGTAATTGGTGAAAAATCATCCATTGGAAAAATCAGTGAATTCTATAACTGTGCATCTGTAGCAGCGTATATATCAATGTCAGCTGTGGACCACCGGCCGCTTAACTTCTGTTTATAAACGAGGGTCAGACGAATATAAAGGCGCAACTGCATATGCAAGGCAGCAAGAAATGACTGTTATAGCGCAATTAAAAATGAATACCATCAATGTACGTGTTGCGTTTGAGTTTGGGTTAGCTTCTTTAATCTGGCCCACGCGAGGCGACCGACTATATTTGCTTGAAATAATAACAACTATTCTATTTCGTAAAACATTAATTATTTATTCGGCTATTGTTGCACTCAATTTGTTATTATGTCACGCAAGTGTTGGCATCCACCTCACGACGGCTGGATTAAGAAGCAAACCCAAAACCCAACACATTGATGACAATCACTTTTAATTGAGTTTTAAGTTATATATGCCGGGTTTACATTAGAATGAGGGTTAGAGGCGTGAAACGAATCTTCATTTGGATTACACATTGTCGTTATTCAATAGAGAAGACATTGACTAGTGCAAATACGATTGCTAAAAAGTGTGGACTGAAGGATTGAGGACCTTCCCAAACATTTCAAGAGAAAGGCCCCGATGTCCTTTCATCTCCGACATATAAATATCGAGACCTGTTTATATGATGGCTTATTCGACTGTGTACCAAGGAAAAGGCGTTACAAAGGTGGCGAGAAACACGCATTCCTACGCTGCTCAAATATTAGTAAAGTATCAATGTAATGATGTATAATTGTTTATTTGATTAATAAGGAAATATATGTAACGAATATATGAACTAATTGTTTCTAGTAACCCAAATTTTTATTTTCAATAATTTTTATAAAAAAAGCAGAAACTTAACAACCGAATTATAGAAAGAATTTATTGTAATATTATCGATAGCTTTTTGGGAATATCACGGAAATGAAGGTCGATGATTACATATACAGGAAAGAGTTATTCAGCATCATGTTGCCGGCAACATATTTGAAAATCATCGAAATCGGTGAAAGGCTATTCTTTCGACAAGTACATCGAGAGTAATAATAATAATTTCCAGTTAAATATAACAACATCCGGTTAATCCCAAAGAAATCGTTAATATTAAAATGTGTTATGAACTGATTAAGTCACATGTTTCATATGTTTCGAGTCAAATTTTGTTTAAAAAATTGTAGTTTTTGAAGTTTTTGAATACTTTAATGTAATCCTAATTAAAATGCGCTAAAAAAGATTTAATAATTTACAATACAATATAATAAAGCTGTAGCTTTAAAAGTACCAGAAAATCGAAATCAAAGCTGGATACTTATCCAGTAAAGGTATCGCGTCTAACTATAGATAGTACGTAAAGAAGGATAGCGCTAGTGAAGGAGAAAGAGGTTCGAAAATCGCACATTAATTAATCAAAAGAAACATATCATTGAGACAATACTAAAGCAACGACGAAAACTTCATATTTTGCTCATTTTTCTGATTAAAATAAGACCAAACAGCATATTTGCTTATTTGATGAATGATAACATTTTTTTTTTTCACCTATAAAACGTACGTAAATACATGTGTAAATGTTACTTAAAGTATATCGTCTTTGGCACCATCTAATACAGCCATCTAATAATCTGATCCATCGTAGTATCGATCGTACAGCATCGTACAACATCTAATATCGGAATGCGAGGAAATGATCAGAATGGAAGGTATATGAAGACAGGAAATAGCAAGAAGACAGGAAAGAGGAAAGGACTGGATGAGAGAAATAATCAAAATAAGAAAGGAGTCATTCAAGTTATGTATTCAAAAGTAAATTAATGTGTGTTTTTAAGAAATATTTAATCACAATCCCCTTGTAAAGATAAGAAGACGAGAAAAATAAACAAATATTACTATTACTAAAACGGTGTTTCGGTCATAAATCAAAAATATACTTACTGTGACATATATGGTTTCACTGGACGACTATTGCGCTGGTCAAAAGGCTGAAAAACAAAAAGTTTATTTATTAAATTCATTAAATAAGTTCATACATAACGTTTAACATGCTTTTCATATTTTCATTGATTGATAACTTCAAATTCGTGATAGCTTTACATCGAGGATAAAAATGTATAATCAACGTTGTTTTCGTATGTACACAAGACCACGCAATTATCGATACTGTGCCTACGAAACATTGAATGGCAGTTACACGATTCATGCAGCATTCGGCTATGTTAAGCGTAAATTAGTAACAAAGAATGCAAATAAATAAATGAAATGCTATTGGGGTGAGGTAATGTGAGTAAGGTGTTGGCGGTAACATAGTAGTAGCGTATTCAGTATTGAACGGACAAAAGAAAAATAGTTTCTTAGAGAGTACATCGATAGCGATAACAGCAAAAATATAAGCTAAACGAAAAGAGAAGGGACTACTTCGATCGATACAAATAAGTAGAATACTTAACATATCTTTCAATATAATGTTGCAATAGTATTATAGAATAGAGATAAGTGACTTTATTAACAGGTTCTATCAATAATCTTTAAAGATAAATTGCAATAATTTAATTTTCTTGGTACTAAGGCTGTTTATGTTGTTTATTAATTAAACGTTAATGGTTATTATATAGAATAAGGTAGTAAATAGCAATAAGCTAAGACTGTAATTCAATAATACTTCGATATTAGAATTAATTTCTCTACAAAATTTGAAACTGCGACGATATTTTAGCTTTAGAATATGAAAAATATTACAAAAAAATTATACAAATTACAAGAAAATTTGTATTACTTTAAATTGCTAAAAAGAAAACTTTATGCGATGTTAATAGAAGCAAAGGATAACAGATATAGAAAACAAAGAAAGGAAAAGTATAAAGGACACGGAAAGACGTATGCCACTACTTCTGTATTTGTTATTCTTGCTTTTCGTACGGTGAGTTTTACAAAATAAAAGTTAAAATAGAAAAGTCAATACATCTACTAAACTAATCATTTTTTATAGGAAAATTCAAATTGAATCGATTAACGTATTAAAAAATATATAATTTCATCTAAAAAAAAACAAAGTTGACCTTTACATGACCCACCTACAAAAAAAATAATAACATCAAAAAAGGCCTGATTGGAGCCAATGAAATATCGTCTGAAAAAGTTTTCGCTACAGATAACACTAGAGATGCAGGTCAAGATGTTCCTATCAGATATTGCCATGCATACGAGGTGTTCGCGGCAATTAGGATCAGCATTTTAGGTTCAGCACAATAAGTATGAGAAAAAAATGAAAGAGAGAAAAGATGAATGATTCAAAGTGAACTATGTATTAACAATAATATTCTTCTCGCAAGTGCAAATATGCATGTACATTTTGTACAGTTATACTATTTCTTTAAACAAATGACTTTTCTTCTTTTTAATACATGGAACCCTTTCATTTTATGAAAAAAGTATTCGGTTAACATGGTAAAAAATTAATTAGTTTAATAGATATCCTAACTTTAATTTTGTAAGATATCATATGATAAGCAAGGAAAAACAAAACTCTCGTATTTATATCTTCTTTATCTCACATATGATAATTTCTACACAATTGAAATTAGAATATCTTTTAAACTAATCAATTTTCGACCATGTTACCCTAACACTTTTTCTCACAGAATGAATGAAAGAATTCATATATGCAAAAAAAGGAAGTTTTCCACTTAAAAAAATAGTGCAACTGCAAAATGCACATGCATATTTGCATATTTTACGAAAAGAATATTATTGTTATTATGTAGTTTAGTTTAAACCATTCATATTTTCCTTCTTTTATCTATTCGATAAACTTATCGTTTACGAGAAAGACGCTGATTCAAATTAGCGCGAACATCCTGTACAGGCTATAATACTGGTTTAATAATCCGACCGAATGATCTTTTTTCTTTTCCATGACTTTCAAAACGGAAATTTTTTCTAATTCTTTTACGTTTCTCCCCTTTCGTCGCGACGAATTCACATATAAAAGTAATATTGTGCTGTCTCTATATAAACTGCAAATTTTTACTTCAAATATTAAATTACAAATGAATCATTTTTGAGTAAATTAAATTAAAATTATATTTTTATTAATAAATTTCTTTTCTTTATTAAAGCCACTTTTCTAATAAAAGTATTAAAATTATAAATTGATAAATTAGAAAAAAATTTTTAAAATGTTATAAAATATTGCATGTATAAGACATATTAAGCTATTTCTCTAAGTTCTAATCAAATGTCTATAATAAATAAAACCAAAATTCCTACTATTAATTATCAGATGTAATACTGGAATTTAACGATGAACACTGTATACAAAAGCGAAAGTTGTCTATGTGAAAAATTATTTTCTCTTGATTTAATTAAAATATTGATAGTTTGACATTTTAAAATATCTATAGAATAAAGCATGAATATTTCTGATATCTCATGTTCAAAATAATTTATATGAATTTCATTTGATGCATCACGATCAGCTGTTTGAAATTCTTATAACGATCTTTATCAAAACATCTTAAAGAAGAAGGAAACATTCCTTCATAATCCTTTATTAAAACCAATAATATAAAAAAGTATAAGAAAATTATTTGCACAAGGAAACAACCTAGAAAAGTGAGACAAACCATATTGAATAAAAATTCATGTGTTCCTTTCAACTCGAGTAACGAACTGAAACTCGTTCTACGGACAGCCTTCTTATCTCAACAACTATTTGCGAACTTTACTGCGCTCGCAACCCTTATTCTTTGACATATCTTCTGATAACAGAACTTTCTGGACATCGAATTGTTAAGTCGAACAACAAGTTCTTGACGATTGACAAGCACGCTAGAAGACAAGAGGTTTAAATAAGACAAAGATGATTGGAAGATGTTAAAAAGTATAGATAAGCAGAAGATACACACGTGCAACGAAAGATTCAGACAGCTATACGGAAGATAATAAATCAAGAGAAAGAAGTAAGAATAATATATATGCATACTGTAAGCATAAATTCGTGATACAATTGAAGTGAAGAAAATCCTACAATTCAAAATTATGTGAAAATCTAGAATAATCAAATTACGTTGGGAGCTTCATTTTCTTTTTTTTTTTTTTTTATAGAAATCAAGGTTGAAAACTTGTCCGGTGTACAATAGTTCATGAAAGTATTTGATTATTTACCATAGAAAACTTATATGTACATATTATATGTGTTACATTAAATATTTTGAAATTTCATTGGCATTATAACGAAGCAACTATTATGATTATATTGGTAAAATTAGAAATCAGTCAGAAAATGCGTGTATACAAGTTATAAGATATTCACTACAAACTATATTTAGTAAAAAGATTAGTATACAGCATGTTCCACTGCATATCGAAGCTTATTAATATAATGGTAATCGAATGTTTAAATATTTTTGCGATCTCTGCGAAAGGTATACTTCAACAAAATATTTTGTTCGAGTCTCATTGCAGTGCTAATGAAATTTCAAAATGTTGCCTATACCATATATAATACATTCGTGAAAATTTTTAGAAGTATTCAAACACATTTAACATTTGCTTAATTCCCAACGAGATAGGTGTTGCTATCGTTCCAAATAAATCGATATTACCTACATTTTAGAATAGCACTATTAAAAATGACGATACGAAATAAATTATTTCAAATAATTATTTCCTATTTCAAATTCATACGTAAGGTCATCCAATTAACTCGGAAGCCTGGCTCGAGAGAACATTGAAAATAACAACAGAGTAACATGTGCATTTACTACTAGAATCAAACATTGTAATTACATTTCAGGTAAGATAATTCAAGATTTCAGTTATTAAAAAAAAAATTAGTAATACATGGGAACAGTACCAGAAGCGCTTGCTTGCTTCGAAGCTTCAGAAACGCACAGGAATATGAAATCATCGCGCGAAAACGTGAGGCTCACTTTCGCAGTGACCGTCTTCTTCTTATTGTGACGTCCAATTTAAAGTTCTCCGGCGACAAACAAGCCGCTGTGTTGTCGTCTAATTATACTTCTAGCAACAACTCATAGAGGGCGAGCGACATTTCATGCAAGTAATAAGCGTACGTTACAATGTTGCCATTCTGATACGTTTTCGCAAACGCGGGTTCCGAGTTGAGTGGATAACTCTGTATAACTTGCCCGGCTATAGTAAGTTTTTTTAGATACAGGACTAGGTGGTCGTTTTACATGTGAAAATAAATGGAAAGCGGAGAATAAAATTTGGTCGTTTAAGGCATTGTTTTAGATAAAATAGAGTTTAAATAAAACATGTTCGATCACCAGATTCCTGATTTTCGTTTTATTATGACTTATAGAATCCTCCTTGACTTTACTTGTACCACAAATTTATACCTACGATGTATAGAATAAGGCTATCGTCACAGTAGATTTGTGTTCTGTGGAATTGTCGTTCTGACTAATGAAACATCTGAAAAACAAAATGCATATACGTATTTTCATTATAATAATGTATATGTATATGAATTATTTACAAGCCATGTCGATGAACTCGATAAATAAAAATACAGAGGAAACTGATAATTACAAGGATAATTTTGATTTATTTTGGTATTTGTGATTATTTATGCTCTCTCCCTGAAAAATAAATTTGTGGAAATAAGTCGGTTTTTTTAAACATCACATAACATTGACGACTTCATAAAAAAATGAATTGACTAGTTTGGCTTCTGAAAGGCATATATTTAATCATTCTGATATATGTTTCAGAACAACAGTTCATCAGAATACGCAGCCACAGTAACCACCATATCCTAAGACCGGTAAAGAGAAAGAGAGAGATTCGAGTAATAGAGGACAACGTCATCGTGCATTCTACTTGTCGACGATGTTGCGGCCTCTAACCCGTGAAACAGCCGACGTCTGAACGTTGGCGGTGAGAAGAGAAGGTGTCGTTGATGATGGTGACGATAGCATAGTGTGATTGGTGCTGGAAATAGAAGAAGACGTAGAAGAAGAAGAAGTGGGCGAGACACGTTGGTGATGGTGATGATGGTGGTGGTGGTGGTGATGGTGATGATGGTGGCGATGACGATACTGTTCGTCGCTGGTAGCCTCTAGGAGCGTCGATCTGATAGCGGTCGATCTATCGCCTGTCGGCGAGCTCGATCGACGTAAGCAACGATCTGGCAACACGAAGCTCTTGGATCTTCCTTCCAGCATGCCAGCGTGCCAACCACAGTCGGCAGCAGCCCGTTCAAGAGGTCGTACAATCCGATCGATTTTTGAATCATCCTTGCCACTTTTCGTCCCGATCGTTCTTTCTGTCGACCGATCGAGATTATAATCGAACACGTTTATGCTCGACCATAGCTTTGAGCCGGTTTGAGATTTCATGTTCTGGACACTGGCACGGGAGCTTTTCTCCACGACACTCGAACGAGATTTCGAGACGACCTCGAGGGCTTTCGAGCTGCTGACCGCTGATACCCTTACATTGTAACTGCTCTCCGGTCGGTAGGAGAGGCTCAGAGCACGGTGGCTCAGCTGTGCATCTCGGAGCTCCTTCATTTCCATACCCTGGGGATGTCCATTCTCGTTCAACCACTGTCCCGTTGTTATTTAGCGTTGTTATACAGTCGGTGTCGGTGTCGTCGTCGTGGTTGTTGTAGGTAGTTGCAGTTGTCAACGGCATCGTCCAGGGACCAGGGAAAGACGCGTTATCCGGGACCGTCCAAAGTGCACACGAACGGACACGATACGTAAACACCAAAGACACACACACACACACACACATGGACATCGATCACGAGATATGTAGTACCAATAGAATAGTTTTTCGGTTAAACAGAGACAATTCGAGCAAATAATAGGAATTTTTACTTGATTTCGACTTGTTTTTAGAGAAATTGTCTCTAGGAATGGGAGTGTGAATTTTAAGTAGGTTCACATGCATGGGTCACCTTGTGCGTTTTTTATTAGGTGCAAGGGGCTCGATTATATTAACACACAAAGATTCAATCGTTACATTACTCGAAGCTGTTAGTTTGAGAAAATTTGATGCTAAAAATGATACAAAAATACGACGGGAAAAGGAAATGTTTTTGAGTTTTTGATTATCGAGTTTTACGCGAAATTATAGTTCACAATACTTTGATGTCTCACTAGTGTATTTTAAAAGTGAAATCAATTAGATGCTTTCGAAATGGACATTCTATAGCTAGATTAGTAAAATATTCAATAGATGAAAGATCAGATTTGAATAAAAAGAAAGGTAAATTTTACTTTTAAATGTAAATATATGTATCGGTTGTATTCTTCCTCAATGACTTCGTTATGTAACTGAATATGACACTTAACGTTATTTAACGGCAAACTACGTGACTTGAAAAATCTAAGGGCCGAATGCAATCCATTTCGACCGTACAAACTATCCAGACTGATAGGAAAGAGAGATTGTACAGGACTCGACATCGAAGAACAAGTGGAATGAGGAAAAAGTGGAACTGATCCTTATTTAACTACGATTAAATATAAATGTGTCGTACCCCGTCAAATATATCCATGACCTCGTCCCACCACTAGAAACATAGAATTAAATATAGCGTTAATTTCTGCACTAACCATGTAAAATTAAAAATGATACTAAAAATTGGATAAAAATAACTGAAGAATGTCACAAATTTTTTTGTGACTGCTTTTCATTCGCTGCATATTACATACGAATACATTTCTAACATATTTAATTGATCTTTATTTATGTTTCTAACGAAGTAAACTACTGATTTAAATTTCTTGAAAAATACTAAAAATAAATATAGTGAAAAAAACATTAAAATAAATGTTAAATATTTATTTCTTCGTAATTCAAATATTTCTTTTATAATTAAAGTTAATTGCTCTAAAGTCGATATCATTAAAGATTAATGGATATTTTCAAGTTTTTATATTTTTATCTGCATATTCTCTTGTGTCTGACAAAAATATTTTAATTTTTGGATGAAAAGCAAGTCACTGTTTCTGATCATTAAAAGCAGCGCTACTGAAGCTAATTAACTAAAGAAATTAAAACTGAAAAACGAGTATGATAAAATATCGATAAGCATGGACGAGATTGCGTGCGCTCGATACTTCTGAAACTCTAAACACATCGAAATGTTTTTACACTGGAAAGAAACGTAACATGACGTTCATGTGGCGAAAGAACGTGTCACGCGTCAACAAAAGAAGCTTTCGAAAAACCAAGTAAGAAAAACAATTGTTTCGTATCGTAAACTGATTTCAATCGTTCGGTTAATCGTTACCTTCCTTCTCGTCCGTTTGACAGAAGTCGGCTAGAAGCAAAGCCATTTCAAACGATCAAGTTCCAGACACACTGTGTTCGGGAAGCTTCTACATACATACCGTTTGTATTGTCATTCGATAAAGTGGCGACAATAGTCGCATTAATATGCATTAATCAAGCGTCACTTTGATTAGAAATTCGCGAAAAAGCAGGCAACGCGGAATTTTCAGCCTAACTGGTCGTCGAACAAATTGAATGAGACTAGAGATTATTCCTTGGCCAACGGACAAAGGATATGACATAATATTTCTTTAAAAATTTCTAAAACTTTTTCTAATGATGGAATAAAAATAACACAGAGTGGATAAAGGCATTTCAACAACATTAGAAGCAGAGGCAAAATTACAGCAGAACAATTAATTTCTCAAATATTGAGTATACTGTGAGCGAGTATGTATACTATATCAAATTCTTGGTCTGTTAAAGTTGAATCTCTTAATCTAAGATACATTTCTCTGTTGTAATTTATTTCACTTTCAATAAGTCTCTTTTCAGACAATTATTAAATAATGATTGCTTTTTACAAAGAGGGGGATATAACTAGAGTCTAGACACGAAAGATGATAAAATTAGACATAATTGAGAATTATTTCTCCTATTTTTGAGTAGTAAAATAAACCTAGTATAGAAATTATTAAAAAGATTAGTAAATTCTATTAATATTTCATACAAAAATTATAACATATTAATTATTGCTATAAATTTTTATTTATTAGTTTGTAAGATTTATAAATCGGTTTTCTTATAAAATCTCCCTTTTATCGATATAAATCATATTTTACTTCAAGCGATAAAAAGGCAGTAAAATGTTTCTGAAAAACAGCACATATAAAAGTGTTACATTACTAAAAATTTAAATAAATTTCAGTTAAAAAATCTCTAAAGCAAAAGAATATTTATTAACTGACCAAGAATGTAGTTTTTCATGTCAACAATTGTCTACTATTTAATATATTCTTAATTTACAATATTATGTAATATGTAATTTAGAATATATCTTTTACCTTTTGTACGTAATAATATTTTATGCTATAGTAGTTACTCTGCTAACGGGGATTCAATCCGTTTAGTCTTTTGTCCTAAAGTCCTACATAGGCGTCCTAGTACAGCGACTTTTATAAGCTACGTATTGTATCCAATAAAAAAGTCTGCATTACCCTTCCCTCTGTCACTCGAACAGTGCGAAGAGAGTAACGAAACATAGATTTTTGTCTTATAACACGTTTCATTCTAGATATTTGCAATTGCAATCATTCGTAATTTTACAAACTAAAAGTCTTAAATAAATATCTATTGTTCCACCGTCTCTTTATTATCATAACAAATTCATTAAAAGTATGAATTCACTGGAATTACATAAATGCTATATCCTTCCTCTGTTAGGTAATCAAGGTTTTCATATGTTTTCCGCGGAATGATTTTTACCAGAGTTATTATAGAGAAATTTCGATGAGGCATGTTCTCAAAGGAAATTCATGAAATAGGGTTGCACAAAGAACGATTACTTTTTTAAAACCGTAAATATGCATACCTCCTTGGCTTCCTTTTCGGCGATCGATGACCGTCCAGGTTCGTAATCCTCGATTCGTCCAGGTTGATTTTTATAAATCTCTGAAGTATATTTTAATGTGCCATTTCTGAAATGAAAACGAAGAATTTTTATAAAAATTGCCGTTTAGCTGAAAATATTTTAATCTTTAATACATTTAAATATATACAGGGTGGTTGGTAACTGGTGGTACAAGCGAAAAGGGGGTGATTCTACGCGAAAAAGGAAGTCGAAAATATAGAATAAAAATTTTTCGTTTTGTGCACTTTATCACGTCTCGTTATAACGGATCTCACTGTAGATCACTGTCTCGATGGAAAAATTAAAAAAAAATTTCTTTTTAATTTTTTTATTCTATATTATCGACTTCTTTTTTCGCGTTTTACTTTTTCGCTTAGAATCACCCGCTTTCCGCTTGTGCCACCAATTACTAACCACCCTGTATATGTCGGAGATGAAAGGACACCGAAGGCTTCCCTTTGGAACTTTGGGAAAATCCCTTAACATTATAATCTAGATTCTAATCATAGCCGTAATTAAGCAATTGTCGTCATTCAATCCGATTATATTTGTTCGAGATTTGTGATAATGAGCTTAAGGGATGAGCTTAAACGCTTTGTCTAACAAAGGTATGGGGTAATAGTATAGCTCTCCTTAAAAAGAAATAGTTGTAGCGGCACTCGATAGTAAACATTCCAACGGTTTCTGTCCCGTGGCTCGCCACACGCAGACCCTATTCTTCGGGTAAGATGATTATCACATGTCGACGCATCTCCACAGTACATGTTCTGCTAGCCTGAGGAGATTTAGTTAACTAAAGTCCTTCAAACAGACAAACAGCCTTTGTCCCAACTACGGGAAGATAGGGGAAATCTACTTTTTTCACGAACGAGGCTTCGCACTAGCAACTTTCCCTCAAGGGCGGCTAATATCCTTCTCTAACTACCAACATGGAAATTGACCAATTAACAGCAACGTCAATTTCCCTCACTTTCCGAACGATGACTTTTCTCCACAAATCCGATGACCTCGTGCCCTTAAAAACACCTATCATAGTTTTCCTTTGCAGCGTCACCATGACGGAGAGACACTCTCTTACGTACGGTCTCATCAACGAGTTAAGTAACGTCTTTGCGATCCGTGAATATTTCACGTATTAACATATAGTCCAACTTAGACTTTGACGAAAGTAATAAATTTGCCATCCCGTTGACCACGGATTCGTTATCGAACCTGAGACCATTGTCATTAGTGTCACGAGTGCCTAATCGCCGCAGTTAATTGTCAAATCTGTTGTATCTGAGGCGCAAGTGTTGACCGTGATAATTGTAGATGCTGGCTGTAGAAGTCACTGATGGGGTACTGCTATTCTTCTTCTAATTTAGATGCGTGGAAGAAAAATCGGACTCCAGTCGCCGGGATTTGAACCCGGGTTCCGAACATTCATAACCTAAGGCGCTAACCACTGCGCTGCTGTAACGTCAATTCACATCAGAGACCAGGCTACGCAACGCGGACAGGATGGCACCCAGATGTCTGCACATCCTTGGCGCGTACCCTCAATAGTCTTAAGTGCCCACCAGGGACCTTGGCATTTTCATAGTTAAGGTCCTTCGGACCAAGTGAGTATTTCCTGTCTTAGATTTCCCTTTACGTTTATTGTCTACCACGTGTTAGCTTAGAAAGTTGGTTTCCTTCGCATCTGGTATGTTCCGTTAGCAACTTTCTCGCGAGGGCGGCTAAAACCCATCCTGGTCCACCAACCGTCTTATTATCCAATCGGAGACGGTGTCTACTGCCCTCACTTCCTTAACCAAAATTGTCATCAACAAATCCGATAGTCCCGTGTCCTTAGACACACCCACCCCTAGCTTTCCTCAGACACAGTATCGTCAGTAAAACTTCACTTATTCTGTATCCTTAGAATAGTCAACATATCTATATCGGTCTCTACCCTTATAAGTCGCGTACTTAATGTATTGTTGTAACTAAATCTTACATAACGTGGTTGGAGTGAATTGTGATTTATGTTAATTCAGTGCGTGTTACATTGTGATTGCTGAATTCATAATAAAGGTTGATTAAAACAAAGTTAATAGTTGTGTTACGACTCAGCTATTTTATTTCATCATCCAACCCTTAAGTTTACGTGCCGTCGTCCGACACTAGTTAGTGTCGAGCGGTG